CCTGCATTTCTGCCTCCACCCGGAGCCATCTCAGGAGCTTCCCACAACAGCAAAATGCCGCTGGCCTGATCTAGCCTGGGAGCAAGAACCCTTGCAGTGTCTGGCTCTGGAGCTCCAAAGCACTGCCAGAGGGCTCTGGCTTTATACTGCCCCAGGGCATTGTGATGCTGCGCCAGCGCCTGCTGGCACTATGACACACGGGTGACGGGGCCCTGCTGCTGCTGCTGCCCCTTCACCCAGCGTGTCTTGGAGAAAGGCCTTTGGGGTGCTGGCCTTGAGGCAGTGCCTGTGCCTCAAATTTTGGTTGACACAGTTTTGTAGGAGGTGTCCCTTTTAATGGCAGGGGGGTTGGGACTGGGTGATCTTAAGGTCCTTTCCAACTCTAAATATTCTATGATTCCATAATTTGTGTATAATATGAAAAGGTCTCTCAGCTCACCTGCTAATGTACGTGGGATTCCTGAGGACACATCAGGACAGTTATTCATGCTTGACCTTATAGCACTCCTCCTTATCCCTTCCAGCTTTCTGCTTCAACTTCTTTCTTCAATGTCAGCTTCTGCATTATTGTGTGAGAGATGGCATGGAAGTTCCATATAACAGTTCCATATAAGACAGACACTGTAGCTGACAGTCAACACATACACTGAGAGCACAAACAAGCTCTCAAATGTACTTCAAGTAAGAAAAAAAAAAAAAAAAGATGACCAAAAAAAAAAAAGTCCTCAAAAAATCCCAACCAGCCAAGATTAAAAAAAAAATTAAAAAAAAAAAAAAAATCAAACCCTGCTAAATCGACATGAACAAAGAAGCAACAGGTGGAAGTGGGATTTTCAGTTTCCCAAATTGTCTACATATCATTTGGATTCTGCAGAGTACATTTAGGGAAAACCATGAACAGTTTATTCCCAGGATAGTGGTTTTAACTTAATTGATTTTAGCTTAATTGGTTTAAAGGGATTTCAGTTTGTTTACTTCATGGTATAGATTTGTCATACTTAGTTCTACATACCTTTTGAAAAAGAAACGAGCATCTTTGGATGCGGAGAAGTTTGTTCAGTCTTACCTTAACAAGATTCTTGCCCCCACCTCCCTTCCATTCTGCAATGTCACATCCCTGTGGAAACAACATGGAAACATCTTGAAAGAATGAAACAGTAGGGCACATACAAGCTCCCAGTGATCACTTTAAAGTGACACATAGTGTCAGTGTGCGTTGGATGGTGGGAGCTCAAGCTCTTGCTGCTTCCAGAAGTCAGTGCTGATTTACAGCCAGCAAGGTGTTCTACGATTTCCATCCCTGTGTCCGACACTACTCCTACACGTTTCATTCCAGCTCATGATTAATTTGTACAGAGCTCACTCAAACAATTGTTTAAAATTACAGTGCTTGACTTCCTATGGTGAACTGTTTTGTAGACATTTGTAAATGAAAGATAAAATTAATCTAGTAGCTTTCTTGCCGTACTATTTAACTTAAAGATCTGAAGGTAACATCTGAATATTCCCAAAAGGGAACACAGTTTTCAATAAAGGCAATGGATGAAGGCTTAGGACAGCTGGGTCCTCTGCTCAGCTGCACTGTGGATTCTCTGAGAGATGTGGCAAGCAGATCAGCACAGGTCCTTACAGCTCTGCTGTCCCACAGATATCAACACCTACTCATCTTGGGGACATAACGTAAAAAGATATCTTAGGTCTGTGGTAAATCACCCCCTCACTTGGGGTGTTTAGATGCATTCATATGTTTGCATCATTCTGATAGCGCACAGCCACAGGAGTAGTCAAGCTTTTCAGTTGTCATGTGTCATCTCTAAATGTGACTAAAAATATCTCAAACAGAAAGAAGTGTAAAGATGGAAGTTTCACCAGTACACTATTAAAAAAAAGTAGATGGTACACAAAAGTATATCTAAAAATGGCAAGCATCACTTAAAAAGATGGAAATAAAAACCAGAGGTCCTTCCATACTGACATCAGAGACAAAAGTGGGAGAGCCCTTCCCAAAGAGCAGACCACTCAATCTATTCTGTTCATACAATGACATGTCAGAAAATGGGCGAAGAGCATTTAGCAACTGGCTGTGAAGTAGGCATTGGTACCACCAGTAGGTGAACTGGAGGTCTGCAGAAAGTGTGCTAAAGTCTTTAACGACAGGCCAGACAACATGTGGCTCATTACAGGTATTACTAACATGCTGGCTGGGTACAGCACAGTATTCCCTAGGCCAGACAACTCGGTGCTGTGTTGAGGCACTTAATTCATGAGGTTTTGCCAGAGAATGAGATGTGACTTCACAGTGTTTTGTTGTTTCTTTGGCTGACAACTACTCAAGTATAGTATAACTATACTTGATGATCTTCTGCTGGAATGGATGCTTGTACTGGGTTTTCAAAAAGATGTGCATCGCTGTAAGCCATATTTCAAACTCACAGACTTTCAAGAGGTGTGTTGCTTAATTTACGTAACTCTTTTCAGTTATTATCTCCAAGTCTGTTGACATCAATATACTTTTTAAAATCTCAATGAAATTTCCCAGTTTTGCTTTACTTTTTTACTTTTGATATATTATTAGTTTATTTCCACATTTTTAGGGACAGATCACTACTGGCTTTAACTTGGTATGCAGAGAAACTAACCCCTTCCCATAGAAATTAATTCAATTTTTTCTTTTCGGAATCCAAGTGGTTGATGGCAAAATTCAATATAAAACTCCCAGATATTTCATCTCTCCATAGAGACTGTATTTATGGACATGAAGAGCAGTCAGTTGATTGCTGTAACAAGCTCTTTCATATGAAAAGTCTGAGATTACAAAACTCAAGTTAGAAGAATTTGCCCCTTTTATTACTAAACCAATAGAAACTTTTTTTTTACCGGATTCTGTTTAGCCATAATTGTTGCATATACATTTAGCGAATTTTCAGGATACCATTTTCTATAGTAGAAATTGTTCCAGGAAGTAATTTTTAAAACTAAATATTTATCAAAACATTATTGTAAGAACATAAACATTTCAGCCAGTGTAATGAAATCATTCAACCAGGACAAAGAAAATGTTCTTCTAATATTTAAGGTAGAGAAAATTAATATAGCATGTCATCCCATCAATTACAGCTGTTCACATTTCCTTATAAAGCAATCAAGAATGTCAGCAATCCACATTTCTTCATCCTGAAGTATAGATCTAAAAGGCAAATTCTTACCCTGAAGTTCAAGAAGACCTCCTAATAAAATTACAAGAACTGATGAAAATCAAAGGCATGTTGCCTTTTACAGAATTATTCACGATGATCTTCCTGAAATAGACAAAAAAAAAAAAATCCATAAATTACTATTCTTCAAGTCAAGCAGAATTTTCCAAGCCTGACCCCTATTGACTGAAAATAATGTGAGCCTTCTCTCTGGTGTGTGAGAGTAGTGGATCAAATCCTCACTTAATCAAGTCTGTTTCTCAAAACCAGCCCAGGAATCCAACCAGGGCATAGATAGAATAAACTAAATTATAGCTATCTGCTTGATACTTATCTGCTTGATACTGGCCATATATGCTTCCATTAATATATACTGTCAGTCTTAAACTACTGGGGACTGTATAAGTGAAAAATAGTTTGAAAAAGAGTGCACAGAAAATACTCAAAGTCCATTAAAAAAAAGAAGTCCTTCACTGTGTAAAACCACAGAGGCCTTGAAATAATTAAAAAAAAAAAAAAAGATATCTGACCTCTCTTATTAAATTCAACATTTGGAAGGTACAAAAATACAGCAGCAATGTAACTTTACTTAGCAACAACTGAGAATGACAAACACAGGCTTATAAAGACTCCCAGCAGGAAGAAATCATTGTATGTATACGATAATGAAGCAACACCTGGCTGAAACAGGGCATCTGGGTTTCTTGGTGGTGCTTAAATCCCTTTCATCCACTCCCCACCTCTATCTCACCCATGGGACTTGCTTTTGTTCATTAGGGGTTTTTTTCATTTTGTTTTTTTCTGAAATATCTGGTCACGGTGGATCTTTAGCCAAGCCTTCAGCTGCACATAGATAGACTCATCATGTGCCTTCAATGCTTAGGCAACTTGGAGCTGTACTCCCACCACAGCTGTTAGTTCCCATCTGAGTTTTGTTTCATTTTGTTTTGTTTTTTGCTCCAGAGAAAGTAGTGTGCTCTGCCATATAAGCACTGCCAAGTGACAAGTTGCATGTTTCAGTGCTGTAGCTTCCTTTCACTTCAGTGCACCAGCAGTCTTTCTGCTACTCATTTCCTCTTGCACTTTTAATATTTCCAGACTCTCATCATACTCTACAGTTGAAATATCATTATTATTTCCAAATTGTGTTCACATATTTTCTATTCCATCTTCCAGATTGTTAGAAGAGTTGCTGTAGAAAACCAGGCTATACGCCAATTCCTGCAAAAACTCAAACTCCTACATCAGAAACCTGTTGTCATTTGTCTCAAGTTTTCCTTTAGAACAATTTAGCCTTTTTCAGCTACTGCAACAGTGTTCCCATCCCTGCCAATTGGCGTTGTTTTCCAAAGGAAATTTTGTGAATCATATGACCTAATGTTTTCTTAAGATCCAGAATTATTACCTCTGTCCTCTTTCCCTTCATCTGCTCTTTCTGTCATTCAGCTGAGAGCAGCCACAGTACACAAGTTGCTGTGGCACAGTTTGGAGTAGGCACTTGCTACTTCTGTAGTACCCTTCTTTGCTACTGGTTTTCAGATTTTCTATCCTAGTAGCTCCACCATTTTACTGGACAGACACAGTACATTTACTAGATGCATAAATGACCAAATTCTCTTTCCTCCCACTAACTTCTCCCACACTTTACCCTCTGTGTTTTACATACTCTTTTTTATTCCAGGGGCCAGTGGTTTAGCTTTTAAAAGTAGATCTAAACGAGTTGGTATATTCACAAATTTCCTTAAGATGAAGGAACCATCATCACTGTGTTCTGCTCAGTTGTGCATTTAATTTTCTCAGGTATTTACTTATCTGCATTTATCAATAACCATGCCAACTATGTTCTTCATTGCTTCTTAATTGCTTGTGCTCTTTTATTTCCCTTTAAATGATAGATTTTTTAAAAAGCAGCTTAGTGGTTCAGTCATATTAAAATCATAATTGATTTTGCCTCACTCCTCATTTATTAATGGACTTACAGTACCTTCTCACTAATAAACCTCCCAGTAATGAGTTTAATCCACTGAGGATACTTTTCTACCTCAACAAACCACCAAGCAATTTAGGACAGTTGGTAGTCTCTGCTTAAGGGAGTCAAAAAACTGGAGTAGAAATTTATGCAGGCCATAATTAAAGTACTTTTGGAGAGCTGTGTGGGGAGTTTACTGATATTCTTCGCATCATGCCCATCTGTGGTCAGTGTAATTAATCCTTCACTCACAATCCAGTTAAGAACTGACCTTCACTGACAATTTTTGGTAAAGGGGAAGCTTCAACTAGCTATGTAGCAAACAAACTCTGGTCATTTTCTTCCTCTGAACAGCAAAAGTTTGTGAAGTTGATGAGAGCAGATCTTTTTGGAGCTGCTCAGTGCTGCGGAAGGTGTGCAGACAGCAGAAAAGCCAGACACCAGGATAACGGCTGTTGCAGATGTGTGGAAAGCCCAGTACACTCAGAATAATCACGAGCAGGACCTTGCTGGTTCGGTAGAGGAGAAGATTACCTCATGGAAGTAAAATATAATCAGTAGTTTCTACTGGAATTACTTAAGTGAAAGCAGAGTTATACACTTGAGGGAGGGAAGAACTTTGGGCTGAGCAGCTCTTAGATTGCAAAGGTTTAATCGTGTACCCTTATGCATTTAATGACAAATCCCTGTGACCTCCTTTCCTTCCAGGATTGTAAGATTTTAGGAGCAAGAAACTTACTTGTTCAACACCTAAAACACTGGAGTTATGGTACAGGAGGGGGTTTCTCATAAATCTAAGCTTGTATTGCTGGTTAACAGGAAATTCCTGTAAAAGTGCTATTCTCTCCTGTCCTCACACACAATTACTTAAAGACAAACGAAAGAGGACAGTGAGGGGAGTCCTCCTCCCTGCTGGTCTGTGGGAGTTCCATGGCAGATCCTTTAATGACTGATAGGGTGCTGAGGGGAAGAAAATGAGCTAACCTGGGGAAGCTAGTCGTGCTGGGCTCAGCCCTCCAGCTGATGCAGTGACCTTGTCAGACTGCCTGTTGACTGGGAGTTATATGCTCCCTCTTTTGCACCCCATGGGAAGGATGGTGCTGATGTCTTGCCTTTTTGGTTTGCCGGCACTTACTGCTAATTTGCAAAGGCATAAATACTTCCTAATGCATAAAGGAGAATCAGGCCTAGAAAGATTAACCTTCATACAGAAATCCCTTACTTTCTTCTGGATCTTTCCTTTTGGGATTTTTGGATTCTAGAGGTATAACGATTAATAATTTTGGTGAGCTCTGGGATGGACAGTGTATGTTTCACTTTTTGCTATGTACTTACTCTTTGCCCGTTTGCCACATACATATATATATAAATGCTGAAGTGAAATCTGTCCAAGATTTTACATTCCTCTGTATGTAATTAACCCATGTAGAGTTTTATCCATGGTAATCCATCACTGATAAATAATTAACACACACACACACAAATGCTGGTGCCACCCAATCAGAATAACAGCAAAGTAGACTCCTTTGTATTGAGATAAACAATTCTACTAAGTGAAGAGGAATGTAAAATCTGGGAGGGGATGCAGAGAGAACATGGGAGAGTGCAGCTTGTCTAATAGTGTTTTTAGTTGTCATTAAACACAGTCAGGGTTTCCAAAGCTAACTTACATGTTAACACAATCCAAAACACTTCTATTAAATTATTTTTTCAGAACTCCAGTACAGCAAATGATGCAAAGCCAGAATTCCCCAGACAATGCACAGAACATTAGAGAATTAGTTTAACATTCTGACAACCCTGCAATTTTATTTAAACAAGTTCTTCCCTACCCAATTCCCTGCAGAGAAGTATTGTACCCTTTTGTTGATTGTAGTGGACATATTGCAGATCTCCGATTACCTTCCCAAAGGACCACCCACTACAAGAAGTTTCTTGTGTTGCAAGCACAGCGTAGCTCATTCCTCCCCAGCTCTTATTCAGTTTCTTTTTTCTTTCTTTTTGTTTTTTCCTTTTTCTTCCCATCTCTTTTAATTTTCTTAGTATTCTCATATGCTGTGGATGAGCTGACAGACTAGCCTGCCATCTGTTCTTTCATGACATGGTGCAACCTAATCAATTATCCTCAAACCACTTTGGAGTAAATAAAATGTCTACAATAATAATAATTAGCCAGTTAAAGAGAAAACAGAATCGTGCAACTCCTGGTGGGAATTAGATAGATTTCAGAACAGAACATTTTATTAACTGAGATTATTAGACCAGGAGAAGACAACTTTGGGAGGGAAAAAAGTCACCTACAGTAATTTATTCTGAGGCATGAATATAAGACAGCATCCCTAGATTCTGGATAGCTTTGAGCCTTTGTAACCAGTGATGCCAGACACAAGTAGATTTCCCGCTCATGAGTTTCTACTATTTTGCAATTATTAGATGTGTTAGCATGAACATGAGAATTTGTATTAGAATTAGCACTATTTTTAAATAACAACAAATATTATTAAAAAAAAAAAAAAAAAAGAAAGAAAAGCAATGACCAGCAGATGACATTTAGATAGTGTGAAGAGGCAATATATATTTCTCCAAACATATGAATAAGTCCTGATGTCTTCAAGGAGAGATTTGTTTAGAACAACCAGTGTAAGTAAAGATCCTGAGTAAGAATAGTACATTAAACATGCACCCACTTCAACAACAGGCAAAAAGCAGAAACACAAACTGCTACAAACAGAAATCATGTTTGCAATGTGATATTAGGAATTAAGAAAATCAGGAACGTAGCAACTGATATTAGTGGATACCCAGGATCTCACAAAGCAGGTCTTTATGAAGTTAATCTGAACATTGTTTTTTTTCACAATGCAAGCAAATACTTGATATTTTAACTCTATGACATTGATTTAGACAGAATGCAGTAGCAACATAATTGCTGAGCATTCAAAATATGTCTTAGCACTTGAGTGCTTAGCACATTTTCAGTATTTTCACTTTTGCAGCATGAAGGAAGTGATAGATGAATCAGAAAGATTCAGTGTTCAAGTCAGATCATCAGCAAATTGCCAACCAAGATTTCGCTCAAGGAACTGATACAGTCTCCATACATAGAGCACACTGATGGATCACAGGGAAGAATTTCCTCATTACAGTCCTCATTTTGAGTATGAACGGATGTCATGTACATTCTAATTTCTGTGCCCTGAAAGAATTCAACATGTGTATCTGTGCTAACACATAGTGGTTTTGATCAGTAAGTTGTAAAATCAAGGGTTTTTTTTCTGCCATGTTTCTGAGTATTAAGGACATGAAAATAAGTAAAATAGCTTTATATGTACAGGTGCTGTCCCTAGCACTTCACATACTTCAATTATCATCTTCTAGAGAACCATTTTGTCAGTAAGTTAGAAAACCACATAACAATGTGAGTCTGAACTTTCAACCCAAAGCTGCCTGATCAGCCTGAGATAATATAGACTATCTCCTGCGAAGTAAAGACCATGAAAAAATGAGATTGTACAAAATATCAACATAAAGGCTGTACAATTACAGGCTACAACTTTGACGTATATAGATATCAGACCACCTACTGTAGTATTCCAAAATCTTGATAGCTCTAAAATGAAAATACTGAGTGCACTATGTGTGTTTGCTCTCAAGCTGTCCCATCTTAACTGGCGGGAGACTGAGGCAATTGCCCATAAAACACAATGCGTGGCAGCAAGGAATCTCTTGTGTTGTGATGCTGCTCTTTACAGGCTAGTGTTTCTGTTCTTACACATTGATGGTGAGGTATGTGGCAGACTCAAGCTTATCATCGTGAGCCCATTGCAACTACTGACAAGAACACAAACAATCAGGTAGGAACATGTAGAGAGAGGGTGGAGAAAAATCCCCACCATGATATAGGCCAGTGAAGATAGATACAGCAATGAATCACATAAGATCTTCATCAGTCCGTCCATGACTGCTCCACTGTGATTTCTGTGACATGCATGTACCAATGTATTTGCCTGTTCAGGTTCTCATACCATTTCTCCTCCTGCAGTAGACAAATAATTCTGGCATCGTGACAATATGCTTCATTTACAATTTTCTAGGTACTTCAAATGAGGATTCACCTTCCTGTTGCAGCTGATAACTTGCTTCTGCATGTGTCTCTGTTTTACTATCCACTTCAGAAAAGGGCTAACAATTATATGCCTGATGTTTCTCTAACTTTGACCACCTAGAAATGTGATTTTGTGATTTTTGTTGAAATGTAGGACATGGATCCCTTGCAGGCTTTTACAAACATGGGAGTTCCCATGTGTCATTGACACTGATGAATTGCTAGATCACTACAGAAGAACTTGGAAATGGCAACAGATCTCACTCCTCTGTAGCTAACTTGAGCTCCTGAGAGGGACCAGAGGGGGTTTTGATTCTTTTTATTACATGTTATCAATTAAGCACTTAACAAGCTACAATAAAAAGCAACCTTCCAATGGAATTTTTAATGTAATGGAAACAAATTACCTTTGAGATGGTTATAATTTGGAATATTGACTAGAATGAAAATAAGGCAAATGACAACACATATTCATCCAGATTGCCCATAACGACTTGCCAGGCATCCCTGTTTCAAATCAAGTAAATATGTGTGGCTTCTCTTTGACAGCAGCACAAAATGCCATGTGAAACACATTGAATGGCACAGCTAATGCAGAATGCTAGCAGAAGATACTGCAGCTTTTGTTTTGAAGTGAGTACCTGTTACGCAATTCTCTTAGAATGTGCTTCTGTCAAAGAATGAAAGAAAAAAAGCCTCAGCAAACAAAATCCACAATTCTCAAACATTTCTCAACTCAGAGGATACTGCCACACTTGGGCACAGCCTACTCACAACAATTCTAAAATTCTGGTGTTGGCACAGATAC